TGATTTAGCGCTAGATACGTCGGTGGCGGCAAACACGGCCACACGGCGACAAAAGCGCCGCGCGCGCGCCACTGAATGCCGCGCCGCGCCATCGACCTGCAGTGGCGGCGCGGCGGAGACGGCGGCGCGCTACCTCCGGTAATCGCGCTAATTGTCGGTCGGCGTCACCGCGCGGCGATTAGCGCGTACGGACGGCAACCGGACGGCGGCGCCGGCAAATACCGTAAATTGGCCGAGTCAGTCGGCCACAGCCGCGGAGCGCGCCGGCTTCAATGGCTCCGGGGCGTCTGCAGTGACCCGCCCGCGGTCTGGGGCAGGGTGCGGCGCGGGACAGACAGCGGCGGCAGGTGCAGCGGGCGGCCCGGCCAGCCGTGTGACCTACGAGCACAGGACACGGCAGCCGGCGCCGCCCGCCGCCCCCGACAAACCCATGGGCCAGCGCATAATTTTCCCATAATTTGGGACGGCGATATGATAACGACCGAACATGGGCATTGACAGACGAGACATTATTCAAATGAAAGCAGAACGGCGCCCGGGGGCATCAAAACAGCTTGCGGTTTACCAATATAGCTGATTACTAGAAAATTGTTTCAAAAATGAGAACGTTGATGATAATATATGGCACGTAATACTACCTTGTACACCCAGATCACGAAGCAAGGAAGTTTCCATTACCTACTAATGCGCCATGAGCGCGATCTATCTGATTACTTTTGCAGCATGCCCTTATATTCTTTCGCAATAGCGATGCTAATTGCCACCTTTGCACGCAACCACAAACACTTTAAATTAATTATTTAATCGTCAGCAGTTTATGAATCTTGCTAGCCTCGTAAAATCAACTCAAAGATGCATGAAATACGAAATTGACTTAGACGGAACTTTGCAGCAAAATCGTGTCGTGTTCTCCATTTAGGGCCTAAATCACGACATGCTTTGTCGTGATTCAAAACAAATTGAAATAAAATGCGGAACTCAATGCGAATAGGTGGCTACATATGTTGCAGTGATTTGGAATGATTGACCAATTAAATCTGAGGCATCCCACAACGTAGACAGTGTTACAATTGCTTCACGTGCAAAGAAAGAAAATTATCGGATGTCGTGTAACTGATTTGCTATTTGTTGAACGTCTATACGTTTAACAAACCGTTAAACGTCTAGTAGACTTTTCGTCTAGTCTGAAATATGTCGTATTCTTTATATAAAATGTATTTTTTACCTTTAAGCGCCCGGAAAATATCGGCGGTACGGGATAAAATTATTAAACCGCTCGTAGGTAGAAACATCTTCTTAAACCGCGCCCTGCTTGGGGGGGGGTGTTTGAACACCCCCCCCCGGTCAGGTCATGACCCTTGTGGTTTTTCGCGAATAGGTATTTCAAAAACGGCGGCGCGGAGCGCCACCGTTTTTTGTACACCTTATCATACATCAATTCTACACATGTTGTGAAAATTTCAGACCAAGGTCATTCAAGGTCAGCTGTCACCAGGTCACTTGAAGTGACCTCACCTCATAAAAAGTTTCAATGTCTGTCATAGCTACACCGAGTGACCGATCGCTTTGAAACTTTCAGCGATTGCTAAGAGCAATAGCATGTACAAAATTTATATCTCAGAATTTTGATATCGATGACCTAAGGTCAGGTCAATTTTGCGACCTCCCCATTTAAATCAATGGGAGAAAATTGAAAAGCGCCTCTTTTGGACGAAAGACATTATTAACACTCCCAAACACTGAATTACAAGTGGTTTAGACACACTGAACATGAAAATGGTGTCCGTGACCCCTGTTTATGCCCTGAGGTCATCTTAGGTCACGAATGGTATCTAACAGTCTTTCGCAAATAACTTTTGATAGAGGCATGCTAGAGCGATGAAAACGCCTTAGATGTGTTCAGCTCGACGATACGGATCGACTGATATGCAACATGACCCTTTCCGGTCAGGTCATGACCTTGACCTGAGGTCAAATTTTCAAGTTGACCTTTAAAGGTCAAGTTATAGTTAATTCGATGCGTCTTGACGAGAGGAACACGATGCCGGTAAAAGTAAGCTCGTACAAGGCTTGGGTCAAAAGTTATTGCAGAAAAACTGTTTCCGAAAAAATCGGCTATTTTTGCAGTTTTGCCCCCTGCAGGGAAAACCGTTGACGTTAGGTCAAATGTGAGAAATATACTCAGAAAGGGCGTTAATAGGGCTATCGAATGCGCTTTTCCGCGGCGCTGTAGCTCTATTGGTTCCCGAGTTATGCGTTGGCTTCTTGGAAATTTTCGACATTCGACCTGGAAATCGGCGAAATTTTGCCTTCAATGACCTCTGGTGACCTGACCTTTGACCTGACCAAAAAATTGACCAAAGTGATTTCGTCATTATTTTTGACGCTCTTTCGAACGCCGCCTTCCGCGTATCGCTACGTGGCCCAGGAGCCGAGTTAGAAGGGGGGGGGGTGTTCAAACCCCCCCCCCAGCAGGGCGTGGAAATCCAGGACCCCCAGCCGGGCGCGGGTTAACGTCTCGCATATCGGCTGGACGTTTAAACGATTTGTTCTACCTACTCGCGGTTTAATATATATTATTATAACGACTTTGCGCCGTTCGTTGCTCAGCTCGTTTGTTTAAAAGGGCTACATTGAGGGATTGGGAAAAGAAACGGGGCTTGGTTTTGTTTTTGGGGAACATTTGTTAATAACGAAGTGTGTAGGTACCTACTAATTAATCAAATTAATAGCGCCAATTAGGAAATGCAATAGTGGAATAAGTGGACTGTGCAATGTCTCGGTCAGTCTCTTATATTCATATGCAGGCCCTCTTGCAGCACTTGTATAAAGAACTTATGCACCCAGGGCCGCCTTCTGTGAGAACCTTATACTGAAAACGCGTATTTACAAGCTCTGATGACTGATCTATTCCATCATCTCTGTATCATGTGTGCCTGGGTATACCTATCAGACACTTGGCCTGCGCTGCTCCTATCACGATAAGTGGCTACAGTACAGCCCATTCTGGGTCTTCCTTGTGTTGGTTGGAACACCTGCTTCTCTGTTCGCCAGCTCTTGGGAGAGCAAACTGCAGTTTTTTTCTCGCTGTGTGTACCATTCGCATCCATTTTCTGCATTATGAGCATCACCTTTGAGTGCTCGGACAAAGCAGTGGGCCTATCAGATTCAAAAAAAAAAAAAATAATAAATAAGAAGGCGTCTCAAAGCTCTCTCTGAATTTGATTTAGCTCTGTGTTGCCTTCGGTGTTCAATCTCAATGCAGGCCAATATTCTTTTTTTTCAGCGAGCAGCTTGAAACCATTCTTGTGAAACCATTCGGGCTCCACCACGGAAAGAAAAAGTCTGATTAACAATATTATCCCGGGATTAATTTCTGTTATACCGACGTTTTACTTAAAAAGCTGAAATCACGCGCGCGTTTAGAGACAGCCCTCCGATGCTGCAAAAAATACTTGTGCTATCAAAATTTTACCATACTTTTTTAACATGCGTGAACGGCGCAAAGTCGTTATAATATATATCAAACCGCGAGTTTCTATGACGAACGGTTTAATAATTTCATCCCGTACCGCCGACATGTTTCGGGCGCTTAATGGTAAAAATACATTTTATACAAAAATATACGATATAATTCAGACAATATGAAATGTCTACTAGACGTTTAACAGTTTGTTAATTGTCTAGACGTTTAACAAAGCAGTTAAACCACATCTGATAATTTTCTTTCTTTGCACGTGAAGCAATTGTAAACACTGTCTACGGTGCGGGATAATATATAGTATCTGACCGACGAACCTACATACCGACGCCGTTACTTAAATACGCCATTACGCGCTAAGCGTTTAGAGGAGTCGTCTAATACATAATAGTTATGTATTTATATTGCCCGCCCGTCCTGGACGCCAATTATAATCACCTAAGCAGCATAGCGGCTCCACATAGCATAAAGATGCCCAGCACACTAATGAACAGCCTTCAATTAACCAAGCATCACCCTACGTCTGACACCTGGGCTGCGAAGCCCGTTTCCCGGTTCACATTCGCTCCACAATCCACGTGGAAGGGGGCCCCTTCTGTGTGGATTGTGGAGCGAGTGCAGAGACGGTTGAGACGGTTTGTAATCCTTTAGCGAAAAGGGCTAATACATATTGCACATTTAAAAAGCTGGGTCTGCTTTCTGGTTTGATTGCTGAATTACTGAAGGTCCATCGGTCTATGTAGACGGTCAGACCATTTAAAGGGACTATCCCACCTTCTAAAATGTTGTTAAAACCAGTTAAATTGTGCCCGACCTTATAGATTGGATGACCAGGAACACGGTTCTGGCATTTATTTTTAATTAAACATCTTAGGCTTCCCATATTCCAAACACAAACTTTCAAATATGTGACGTCACAGCCCAAAATTACCTCCTTCCCCAGGCCACATTACTGTCATAAAGCTGATTCTTTTTACTCTGTAGGCACCACAACAAAGTTCAGACCAAGTTTTAAGCGATTTTTCAACGAACGAACCCATTTAAATCAGAATGACTAAACGAGGTGACGTCACACTAACGGTCGCTCCATGTTGAAGATAGGGCCTTGTACAAGGCCCATTTTCAAATGAAGGGAACGAATTTCTTCAACACCAAGAGGCCGCGGGGGTTGCAACCTAGATAGATAGTGGTTTCTGAACCTCGCCGCAAACTTGGCTATCTCAACTCAAACCCCGTGTTAAAGGTGGGATAGTCCCTTTAAGGGCCGGTGGATATTACTCTAGTAAATACTGCCAGAAAATAGGAAATGTTCCACGATCCTAAAAATGAATATCAAATACGCATCGAATTTTATTGTTTTTTTAATCGAAAACAATAAAATTCGTTGGACATTTGTACTTGTAGCTATATCATACACTCAAAAACACGGATACGAACAAATGTTTCCCCTTCCCGGGAGGGGACGATGTATCCTCAATCATTACCTTGCCCCATAACTGGCCCATTGAAACACTAAAAATTGGTTTAAATCTCGCTCATTTATTTTAACTTGTACTAATACTGTCAGTAACTACAAACAGAAGGCATATACGACCAACAAGAACAATCCGAGTTCACAGTCTTCGCACTACATCGCATGCATCTTCGTAATATAACTGTGTCGTAGTCTGAACAATTTAAATCGTAAGGCACATCCAGTGATAGCGACACCAACGATGCGCATGAAAACATCAGCCATATTGTCTGTCATCACAACGCACAACAATTTGATCATTTCAAATTTGTTTCGCAATTCAACTGAATGCTATGAAAATAGATTATCAACGTCGTTAACAAGGCATATCTATCTGAACAACAATAAACACGCTCACTCTGAGTATTTTGATCTTACGGTAATAAGTTGAGATACAGAACGTACGAACTATATCACCCGTTATAAGCGGAAGCTAGGCAAACCGTCAAACGGCAGAACGTCGGCAGCCGACCGTCTTCGGCCGCATACCGGCGTTCCAAACAGCCAACACTCCGAGCAGACACGAAAGCACTGATAACTTCACAGCAGTTAGGCGAAGCACGAATAATACTATGATGGCATCGGCCCCAACTGGGGACCTGGCCACAGAAGGACCGTGCTGAGCATTACACTCTCCTGAACAGCACCTTCCTCCCTGCGCGGCGGACTGGCACCAAGCCCTGACTCACCGGCCGTTCCCACGGCCACAATAAGCCGGCTCGCTCACGCTGTAGTACGACGTGGGCCAGCGCTCAGGCCGGGCTCCTCAGTCGTCACCGTCCGAGTCGGGGTCCCCAAAGGTCTCCTCGTCGGGGCGCTGCTGGCGGCGGCGCAGCGCCAGCGCGGCCGCCTGCGCAGCCATGTCGGCCGGGAAGCCCTGGCGAGGCGGCAGGCCGAGCGCCGCCGCCCGGTACCGGGCAGAGCCGGCCGGCGGAGGGGCGGCGGCGACCTCAGCACTCGCCGCCGGAGAGCCAGCGCCGCTGGGATCCGACACAGAGGCGTCCGAGTCGGCCCGGAGCGGCGAGAAGCCCTCGGAGCCGGCCGAGTCGCCCGTCTGGTCAGCCGGGGCGCCGGGCTCTCCGCGCGGGGTGCTGGCCATGGAGCCGGGCCGAGAGGGCGGCCGGCGGGACGGCGGCCGGGCGCGCCGCTGCACGGGCAGCAGGTGCGTCAGGTCACCGGCAGGCGGCAGCACCAGCGCCGTGCCCGGCTCGGCCTCACCGTCCGAGTCGCTGAACCTGTACAGGTCACGGCGGTCCACGCGGTACACGTCGGGAACGTCCGGTGGCGGCGCGCGCCTTCCGACCTTTCCCGGCCGCTGCCACGGCTCCACCGCGTCCCCTTCTTCCTCCGAGCCGCTGAAGTCGTACAGGTCGGTCGGGTCCACTTTATACGGGTCCCCCTGTGGTGCCGTCGCGGAGGGCTGTCCTGTAGCTGGTGGAGGCGGGGGCGGGGGCACCGGCTCGCCCTTTGCCAGTGCCTCGCGGACGCGCCACTCCTGCCGTTTGCCGGTGAGCGCCACGTTCAGTTCGCTGAGCAGCTCGCGGGCCCTGTCACGTTCCAGTCGGCGTCTCAGTCGCTCCTCGCGGGACAGCAGCACGTCCTCGCTGTCCGCACCCTCCCGCGGGCCGCCCTCCACCACGGCCTCAAAGAACTGATCCACCAGCTCCGGCTCGGGCAGGTCGCTGAGCAGCGGCACCGGTGCGGCGGTGGGCGCCGGGACGGTCGGCGGGGCGTGGGCCGGCGCCGGCTGATCGGAATCCCCGACCTCCAGTCGGCTCAGCTGCAACAGCGTCTGTTCACAGAACAGCTGGCCCGAGTCCAGTCGGCGCTGGATCTCCGTCAGCTCGCGGCGCAGTCTGGCGTACAGCTTGGCTCGCGGCTCAGCACTCTGCTCGTCGTCGTCCTGCGCCTCGGAGAGTGCCTCCTCGAGGGCGCGGGCCCGCAGCGCCACCACCTGAGCCTGCAGACACACGCTGTGGACGCCCACGTAGAGCCGCTGGGGGCCGACGGTCGGCCGGGCGGCGGACGGCGCCGGCTCCGGCTCGGCGGCCCACAGCGCCGCGTGCGCGCGGTATGCTGCGCTCAGGCGGCGCTGCAGCTCGGTCAGGCAGGCGGTCAGCTCGTCCAGTAGCGTCAGTGGCACCGGCGGCGTCCGGTCGGCGTCCGGCGGCAGCAGCTCGCCGCTCAGACCCAGGCAGCAGCGGCGCACAAACTCCGACTGACTCTCGGCGAGCAGCTGGTGCAGGCTCTGTCCAGGAGTACAGCAGCAGCATCAGCACAGTCTGCAGCACTAACACCGCTAAACATCATACGCTAGATTGCTGTTGCCAGTAAAAACAATAGAAACATTTACCATGTGAATGCGTCCAAATGTCATTGGAAATGGACATCCCGTACCTTGACATCCTTGACGGTGAAGCTCGTCTCGTCGAAGCCTGCTAGGGCCGACTGGTCACAGGCGATGTAGTGTCGGTCCGGGTCGACTCCGTCCAGCAGCGGCTGCTGCAGGCGCAGGCGGCGGGTAGCCCGGCCGTAGGCGGCGCAGGCGGCGTGCAGGCACGCGCCGGCCGCCTGCACCAGGTCGCCGTACTGCGCCGCGAACGCCGCCTCTGCGCCGGCGTCGCCGCTGGACCTGTGGCGTCCGAGGGGGTGAGAACGCCGCCGGCTGCCGGCCGCCGGGGCGCGGCATTCAAATGGTAACCGGCCGGCTGCGGCGGCCGCCGGCCCTGTGTAATCCGCCGCGCCGAACATGGCCGCGCACAAAGCGGGCGCGCCGCGGCCGTGGCGCCGGCGGCACTTGAGCGTCAGTCCGGGGCGACTCACAATGCCGGGAGGCCGGGCGCTGTTCAAACAGGGCGGGTACCGCACGGCCGCGGCGGACAGACGGAGCCGCCGCAGTCGATACAGCAGCGGCACTAATGAGCGCCCCGGAGACCGGCGGTGACTGCCCCATACACCGCACCACCCGTGTGGGGTACTGATGACAGCTCCTGCAGTGCGCTCACACCGTGAGCATCATGTCTCCCCATAGCCGCCCTGTCAACACCGCTCCCATTCAAGGCCCACAGGTTTCACCAACAGCCGACCGATCAAGGCTGAGGCCTGGCCGGCGACTCCGACAGCGAAGAAAGCCATGGCCTTGCGACTCGCCCGATTGAGACGCCTGGGCCGATGGCGCTGATAGGATAGAGCGCGAGCCGTCAGACACATTACGGGGCGCGGTAAAATGAGCCGCTCCCAGCCACCGATGCGCCTTTTATGCGCCATTCCAGGGCAGTCGGTCGGAAAATGTTCATGGAGTCGAATGGAGCACGCAAGATAGAAATAATGTTCTATATAGTCGTGGGACGATGATCAGCAAACAAAAGAACAGAAAACGCGCATAATGAGAAAAAAATCAATAAAATAATAGATAACGGTGGCCTAAGTTACAACATTATGTTAATAAAACTATGAAACAGGTAACAGGACCAAAGACAACGAAAAAATCTGGAAATGGAAATGTGCAGACCAAGCTGCGTTGGCATACGGAGAAAGAAACTTCCCTGCCGGACAGGTAGGTAACATTTAACCCGCGCCCGGCTGGGGGTCCTGGATTTCCACGCCCTGCTGGGGGGGGGGGGGTTTGAACACCCCCCTTGTAACTCGGCTCCTGGGCCACGTAGCGATATGCGGAAGGCGGCGTTCGAAAGAGCGTAAAAAATAATGACGAAATCACTTCGGTCAATTTTTTGGTCAGGTCAAAGGTGAGGTCACCAAAGGTCATTGAAGGCAAAATTTCGCCGATTTCCAGGTCGAATGTCGAAAATTTGCAAGAAGCCAACGCATAACTCGGGAACCAATAGAGCTACAGCGCCGCGGAAAAGTGCATTCGATAGCCCTATTAACGCCCTTTTTGAATAATTCTCTCAGATTTGACCTAACGTCAACGGTTTTGCCTGCAGAGGGCAAAAACTGCAAAAATAGCCTATTTTTTCGGAAACAGTTTTTCTGCAATAACTTTTGACCCAAGCCTTGTACGAGCTTTCTTGTACCGGCATCGTGTTCCTCTCGTCAAGACGCATCGAATGAACTATAACTTGACCTTGAAAGGTCAACTTGAAAATTTGACCTCAGGTCAAGGTCATGACCTGACCGGAAAGGGTCATGTTGCATATCAGTCGATCCGTATCGTCGAGCTGAACACATATAATGCGTTTTCATCGCTCTAGCATGCCTCTATCAAAAGTTATTTGCGAAAAACTGTTAGATACCATTCGTGACCTAAGATGACCTCAGGGCACAAACCACGGTTCGTCGGAAGGTCATCTCAGGCTCAAAAGAAACGATATATACCATTCGAAAGCTGGCGGTGAGCTGAATCCAAAAATGTAATTTTTATCAAAATCGATCGATGGCCTTTTTTGAAAATTGCGTTTTTGTAAAAACTTTATAATCTTTTATTCAACGGGCTGTCCCGGACATTCTTGAAAACATAAACATATATTTTTTAGTTCCAGTGAAAGCTGAAAGCCAAAAGAACAATATTTAGCGAAGCAATATTTCCGAACATTAATATGTGTCTCCCACAGCCGACAATAAGGCGCAATCACACAGCGCAGTGTCACGATGGACCAAAGTCAGCCACACAGAAGCGTGAAATGACCCTTATCGACTCGCAGACCCGGCGCTCTCGGCCCGCCTGACCGGCCACGGAAAGAACGTTCGGCTCTCGTTCTACTACTGAACCGCCTCCTGGTCATTCCAGGGTATACGCTTTGTCGTGTGGACCGCTCAGATGGTAGCGGTTACGGCGGTGTCGCAATTATCACCAAGGCTAAAATCACGTCAACCCGACTCAAGATCCCGGGCAGTGGGAGCTCTGCCAGCAGCCTGGAGTCACTGTGGGCGCTGCTAAAGCTTGAACAGGGCCGGCAGCTGATTATCTGCTCCCTGTATCGGCCACCCCGACACAGTGAGGCTGCTCTGGTTGCCGACTTCACGGACCTCGAGGCCCAACTGCAACGAGTTATAATCGATTACCCCAGTGTTCCGCTTGTCATCTGCGGCGACCTCAACTGTGATTTATTGAAAGAGCCTAATTTTCGCGCGCGTCAGCACCTAAGCAGCTTCCTATCAAATTACTCATTAGATCAATTAGTGACAACTGCAACATTTTCCTCCGGCTCGCTCCTGGATGTGTGTATTGTTAACAACCGTGAGCTCGTTTGCGACACCCGTGTTAAATATTGTCACTTCAGTCCTCACAAACTTATCGATGTCGTTGTGAATGTGCCGAAACTGCGTCAAAAGCCCACTGTTATCTCGTCTCGCTCCTTTAAGCGTTTAGATCACCCTGCACTGCATCATGACTTACTCGATGTTGACTGGGATTATGTATTCTCTGCCGAAACCGTCAGTGATAAGTGGGATGCTTTCTTGTCTTTCTTCGTACCTGTTTTCGATGCCCATGCCCCAATTAAGCGTGTGTCTATCCGTAACCCGACTGCTCCTCCCGTCTCCGTCGCCACTCGAGATCTCATGTCCCAACGTCGCGCTGCGCTCCGCCATTTAGGCCGCAACTCGAGCGAGTACAAAACCCTTAACCGCTCTGTCCGGGCGGCTTTGCGTCGCGACCGGCGGGTGGAACTACAGAGGGAAATCGGGGAACGGGGCCCCAACAAAGTTTGGCAATGCATCAGGTCGGTGGTTGCCGGTAAGAAGGATGGTCCTGATGTTCAGCCTGACCTTTCTGCCAATGACTTAAATTCTTTCTTTGTATCCGTCGGTCCTCGTGTCGCTGCCGAGATCCGAGCCCAAAACGCACCTACCGATTTGAATGTACGTCTTACCCGTGTTGGTGCATGCAGTTTTCAACTTCGAGAAATCACACTTGCCGAGCTTGAGCGGACGATTTTCAGCATGCGTAGCTCGGGTGCTTGCGGTACCGACAGTGTCTGCGTTCGCATGCTGAAAGCCGGATTCCGAGCTATTGGTGGTGTCATCCTGCATATTATCAATACCTGCTTAATTCAATCCGACATCCCCGATTCATGGAAACATTCCATAGTTCACCCTCTGTTCAAATCCGGCAATCCTTCAGACCCCGCAAACTTCCGGCCCATTTCCCTGGTTCCTGTAATTGTTACGGGCGGCTGTGACCGCCCGTTGTGGCATGCCTGGCGCCGCCCGTGGCGCCTCCCCGGCTGGCCGCGCCCGGCGCCGCCCCTGCCGCGTGGCCCTCGGGCGGGGTCGAGGGCTGGCGCTGGCTGGGCGGTCGGCGGCCCGGGAGAGGCAGGGAGACCGTGGTTACGAGCGGTTGGCTCTGTGGTTCTTGTTTGGGCCTCTGCCGATAATACAGTAAAGCATCGAGTCTGAGTGTGTTCAGCTCCCGCAACATTTGGCGCGGTCGGTAGGACTGCAGAAGACGACAAAGGGTGAGTTCATTAATTTCATTTGATGATATTTATTGAAATTTAGTTCATGAATGTTGATTGTCGTAACTAGTCTGTGCTCGACAAAAAGCGGGCGGTTTGCTCGAAAATAGAACGCCGATATTTTCTGTTCTGAGGGGAACGTTAGGAATAAGGCGGTCCGCCTGGGTGCAGTTTTGAATAATTTGGTGAATTGTTTCCGCTGGCCATGGATTTCAACGACACTATTTTGGTATCGCGAACCCCTCGTTTTGCGGGTATAGAGACAGATGATTGGGAGCGGTGGATATCTCGTTTCGAGTCGTTAACGGTGGGACTCGGAGACGTTGAGCGAGTTAAGCGGCTGTTGCCTCTGCTGGATGGCGTCGCACTCGATTATGCGCATTCGCTGTATCAGGGTGACAGTTCGTACTCTGAGATAAAGTCAGGACTTGGGGTCCGGTTTGGTCGGTTAATCGAGCCCTTACAGGCGCAGGCCGAGCTGGGGCGCGCCTCCCAGTCGCCGGGGGAATCAGCTGAGAGCTTCGCTGACCGTATTAAGAGACTGGGGCGGGCTGCGTTCCCTCATTCTACCGGTCCGTCAGGGGAGGGAAAAGGTCCTGAGGAAACGTATGCAGAGAGGGCGTTCGTGATGAAAACCCTGACGAGTCGGTTCATATGTGGACTTCGGGATGAGTGGCTCCAGACGAAACTGTGCCACCGTAATCCTGAGTCACTGTCTGCGGCTGTAGCGGTGATCCGAGAGCTGCATAAACGCCAGGAGGTCGTCCAGGCGGTACGCGCTGCTAACCCATCGACGCATACAGGTACTGGGCCCCTTCCCCTGGGTGCTGTAGCGTCAGCTGTTCATGCAGAGGTAGGAGGTGGGTCGCAGCAGGATGCAAGGATAGCTCAGCTGCAGCAGGAGATCGGCCAGCTGCGGTCTTCGTTGGAGGCGTTCGCCGTTGCCAGGACGGACCACCTGCCTGAGGCTGTCAAATGTTACGGGTGTGGTGCCCCCGGCCATTTTCGGCGTGACTGCCCGGTGGTACGCCGTGGTCAGCCGAGAACTGGACCGAGAGCCACCAGGGTGAAATGTTTTTCGTGCGGGCAGGAGGGTCACATTCGGAGTAACTGTCAGTCGGCTGTACAAGCTGCCACCCCGCTCCAACCGTTTTGTTTATTCTGTGGCGAGGCTGGGCACTGGATGGCGGCATGCCATTCTCGCCTGCAGCAGGGG